CCAGTGGGTGGCTGATAAATTATTGGTCTAGTGCAGAGGTCCCCAATCTTTGGGGCACCAGGGACCGGTTCTGTGGAGAGAGGTTTTTCTGCGGACCGGAGGGGACATGGTTTTGTGTGCTGCCTGCATCTTGCGGATGGGGCTTTGTTTGTGCAGCCCGGTTGCTGGCATGCTGCAGCCCGGTACTGGTCCACAGACCAGGGGTTGGGAACCCCTGGTTTAATGGTAGTTTTTCATATCATATAAATTAAAACCACCTTCCTCAAATGATAATCTCACTTTAGCTAAGGAAAATCTTGATGGTCCACTTTCCATTTCCTAAATAAATTATCAATATAAATATTTATTAAAACATAGAAATGCCTCTAAGAATATAAAGGAAATAAAGGACTATTTTCATAAGGTTAATTTTGATCCACAGGCTTAAAGGAACTTTAAGCTATTTATTAACATCCATTTCAACCTTTAGTAAAATTGTCAACATATTTCTACATATTTAGAAATACCTGTGGGTTTATACAGCCTCAAATGTGTCACTAGAAATCACAAATCCCATTTCTTTTACATAACTATGCATTGGGATCCAGGGGAGCCAAGCTAGATTTATTCCAATTAGAACCAAAATACTTTAAAAAAATATTCTACAACCTTTATAAAATTAGGCAAAGAAGTAGAATATTGATCCAAAATTCCTAAAATATCACCAGAGTACAAAAATAATTTATATTCACACTCTCCCAATGTAATATCCTTAACATCTAAAAATTGCCTTAGATAGTGGCCAAAAGTTCAAGAATCAAATCAAATAAGGCAGAAAGTGACCAGCTCTCCTGTATAACACACTATAAAGGGAGAGTCTGAGATAATTCAATTTGTTAATTGTGACACAAGGTTACAACTAGTAATCTCAACCCATTGAACAAAATCCCGTGGAAAGACAAATCTAATCATCACTTGCTTTAAAATTTTAACCTGGACTAAACCAAAAGCTTTTTCTTCATCACAGAAACAGACTTTGAGGAGAATATTTGGGGCATATGGATGATATAACTTAAATAGATCTTCAACCTATATAGAAGATAAACCTAAACTGCTTCCAGGAAATCAACTTGCTAAAATACAGACAAAACTGAGTAAGTATTGCTATCTGGCTAACTAGAGACAAATGCAATTTATTTTTTTACAACCTAAACAAAAAGCAGCAGTAGCAGAACAAATAAAATCAGAATGGATTCAAACTTCAAGTATGGGAAATCTTATAATTTGGGTCAGCTTAATATGCATGTGAAGACAATGACCAAAGACAAACGTACTGTATGTCCTTTCCAATCTTCACAACAGTTTACATTTCGTTTTTTTCCAAGATGTATATATCTCCCTTTCTATAATTTGTTGCATGGGAAGGAGAATAGATCATAAATGTACAGTACTATAAAGGAGGTAATTGATATTTTCATTTTACTATTTAACTTTCCTGTTCTTCTCTGCATTAAAACTCTTGTGTCTTTGGAGGGGCTGGGGCAGGTAGTTCCCAAATTGTAGTGGCAAATCAAAGAACTACAGCCCAATTTCATCCTTTTCTTAAGCAGAACAAAAATGTGAAAACTTTATTCTAGGCTTGAGGCATGGTTGTCCCTATATATTTAATAAACCAACAACCTTTCTGCCTCAGATGACATTTCACAAACTGGCTGCTGTTATGGAGTGTGCAGCTGAACTGGCAGGGGAGAGATAAAGTCAGCAGTAGCACCCAACTTCCCAGGAAACAGGCACACATTCCAGAGAACCAAGTTAAGAGGTTGTGCAGTCCTGAACTGGATGGGGGAAGGAGGAAAAGCTTCAGAATAGCCACATCCTAGAATCTATCAACTTTGAAGGTTGTAGTTTAAGTCTTGCAAGGCTACATTAGATGTAAGCATATAAAAAACTGGATTCAATTGGATCTCATCTTTGGGCACCAGTAGTTTGAAAAGACACCTGACAAGTGTCTTTTCAAACCACCACAGTTCTAAATGGTGGCAACCACAAGGGTCTAATGGAGCAGTGCAGTTGATCGATACAGATCATTCATGAAAACGTAAGGGTATAGCTCAAGGGTAGGCAACCTTGGCTCTTTTATGACTCGTGGACTTCAACTCCCAGAATTCCTGAGCCAGCCATGCTGAGGGGAAAGGGAGAGGTTTCCAAGCTGAGCCATGCTGGCTCAGGAATTCTGGGAGTTGAAGTCCACAAGTCATAAAAGAGCCAAGGTTGCCTACCCCGGTATAGCTGGTCCTAGCGCTGCCAACCATCACACTCTTGCCAAGGGCCAAAATCAACTGACTTGGCTCAAAAGGGTAACATTTTGAAGTATTTAGTTTGATCAATAGGTTAAGTAACTGCTTTTTTTTTTTGAAAAATGCTTTGGGAAGTGTGGACCACTTATGCCCCAATGCAGGGACTGATTGCACCTAGTCAATACTGATCGATACATTGCAGTGTCTTCCAACCTTGACCATTTCCAGACCTGCAGTTCTTCAGCAGTTAAGAGTTCTATTACATACTTTTACTTCTTCCCATAGTTTCAGCAACCAATACCTTCCACACAATTATAGCAGCAAAGTCCTCCTTATTAGGGAGATTATGAGTAGTTGGCAGAGAGAAAATGCTCTGAATATCTCTAATTTTGATGCCCCTCCCCAGTTTTGGCAGTGTTCTAATACTTAACAGAATTCCCCAGACTATGGCATTACAGAACTAGAATTCAGCCTTTGCACAATTCTCTTGTAGTTCAAAGAAGTGAAAAAATGCACTAATAGGCATAATGCAAAACACCAGATTGCATAACTTTTGCATTAATTCATGCAGCTGACTAGAAGAAAATGATATTTGGAACAAAATCATTAAGCATCCCAGCCCACCGCCATTACTATACCTTTGGTTCTCTCTACTCCTTTAAACTTAAAAGCTATTCCCCTTAAACCTGAAAAGCTTAGCTGATCAATTTAAAGACTGAAACTGAAAATTGGGAGACGAAGATACCTTATATCATTCTGTACTCTTTTTTTAAAAAAATATGCACACCTCTATTTTTTTAAAAGCAGCCTTTCAGAGAAACTGGGATACAACTTTTATAATCCCTAGCCAGCAAGGTTAGGCATTCTAGAAATTGGATAAACACTATGCAAACTCTGAAGACGGGAAAAGCATAAAACATTCGTTCCATGTCTTTTTAACTATATACAGTATTTGTGTCTTTTTCAGGTTACTAGAAAAACCCTGTCTTAAGTATCATGGTTACTTGTTCTGCCTTGCTTCAAAAAGAAAGCTTCATTTTTTTTCGGGGCTTGGGGCGAGGAAAAAGCTAGAAGAACCCTAGCAATGGGAAGGTAAAGGAGGGATTTATTTATTTTTTTTTAAAAAAGGAAGCAGACAGGCCTTTCTCCATCTTCTCTCCGAACACAAAGAGAACCCTACTTCTCGCCTGCAGACTGCAATTTCATTCGAAAAAAGCCCGCCTACCCGGCAGCTTTGGGGAAAATAGACTATGCGTCGCAGAGCCCTTAATCCAGCATTAGCGTTTCCCCCTTCTCCCAGTATCACGCCTCTTAATATATATATATATATATATAAAGGGATCCTCCGGAATCCTCGTCCACCAGGCTGAAGATGGGGGCGAAGCGCTTCAGGCCCACCCGCCCCGAGCCCAAGCGTCACGGGCTGAAGCATCCAAATCGCCCCCTGCGGCTTCCATAACCCTCAATATAGCATCAAACCCCCCGGTTGCTCTAACCTACCGCAGCCTTCGCGAACAAGCACGAGGAAAAAGGGACCGCTTCCAGGGGAGGAGGTGTGGCACCAGCAGAAGAAACCGCGGCTATTGCGGAGGGTTTTATACCCTACGAGCCGGAAAGGGGGCGGGTCAGGCCGCGTAAAGGCAGGCCACGATAAGAGCTCTGCCTCTCGCGGGTGGTGGGCACACGCGGTCCTCTCTCTCGATCGCATCCGAAAGGAGGATTTTTGGAGCGAGGTGGTCGGCGTGTGATTCTACATGCTTTGCTGGAAACTCCCAGCATTGGTTCGGGTTTTTTTTTCCTGCCCTCCGTTCGGGCCTTTGCTGATAGATTCAGGTTACTTGTGCCTCCTGTCAACGATTGAAGCGCAATCCAAACTGTTAAGAGCAATGCGGTCTTGGTTATGCGAACCAAAGCAGTTCGCGAAGCCGAAAGAACAATCTCTCTTTCCCCCTCCTCCCCCCCCCGTTTGTGTTTATAGTTGTTATGTACTTTTCCCGCTCGCTGTCCCTATATGAAAACCAAGTTTGCCTACAATTTTTTTCCCTGTGCAGCCAGCCATCCAACCGGAAAAATTCTAACATTGATCGCCAGGAGAAAGCTATACTTGGAATCGTTTGTTCTTGAAAAAGACATTGGGCAAGGGTTTTTGTTTGTTTTTGGGTTGCAGAATAAAAGAATAGCCTTACGTGGATGTCATAATGCTTTAAGAAATCCATTGAACGAATAAAGGCGGTTCATTACCTCCCATAGTTGCTCCATGTAAAAGATATTATTTCTTTCTGGTATGGCTGTACACTCAAGAACTTTTAGGGGGTGAGGAGAGCATTTCTTAAAGTTACAATGCATTCCGTGTCCCGATTCCAGGTTTGATCCCACTTGAATTTCTAGCTAATGTGTCCTCACAAGTCGGGCTCAAGATTCCGAAAGGCAAACACTCCGCCAAACGGAACAGATACTTGGGATGGACCAAATTGAACAAAAGAAAGTCTGTTTCATACTTTCATTGAGGATAGGCATAAGCTCTGGAGATAGAGCTGCATTAAAGTACTCCGAAGCTTTACTCAGAGCATACCACCTGGGATTTTTTAATGAACGTCTTGCCGTTCCTTATTCTCATTTGGAGATTCCCACAGCGTTTCGACCAACAATGGAACTGAGTAGCGAATCATCGCGTATCACAAACTACGCTTCCCAGAAGACCTTGCACTCTTTGCACTTCCCTTTCTTATGTCCTCGGCCGGGTGCTTTCAGCGCGCGCGCGAAAATGGATCTCGGCGAATTCGAACGGGACAATTCGGTGAATTGTTTGTTGGCCTCGGTGGTGCCTCCTATTTGTCGGACTGAGCCCTGTAGTTTGGGCATCGATGAGGCAGGCAGGGGACCAGTCTTAGGTATGGATTCAAATATATAAGGGAAAACTGGAATCTTTGGAGTACCGGCCCCGAACCATCGTCCAGGGTGAATCTTGTAGCTCCCTGGATTGTATAGATTTCCAGGTAGTTAAATTTCATCACTGCCTCTTGGTGTGAAGCTAACTTACACATTGCAGTGTCTTCTTGTAGACATAGTACATAATCATTTTGTTCCTAGTTTTTATTTTATGCCAATATGCTTCTGATCCTTAAATCCACTTTAAAATGTTACTTTTACTACGTTCACATTCTTCATTTCCGATGCAATGTAATTAAAGTTTATTATAAGAGAATGCTATGGAGGGCTGCCTATTGTAAGAATAGTTTTGTAGCTTTTAAGTACTGTCAAAGCAGTTTTTCAAGCCATTTCATTTGTATTGCCTAGTTATCTTGCAAGAACATTAATTAATATACTTATTGTAAGCAGTTCATAGTAGTTGAGACTGAGTAGCTTTTTTGGTTTTTGGTTTTTTTTCCAGGTCCCATGGTCTATGGAATCTGTTTCTGTCCTGTGTCTCAGCAGGGAGACCTAGAAACATTGAAAGTAGCAGGTAAAAGGAGTGTCAGGTTGTGATTATACTTCAGTAATATTGCAGCTGTGTCACAGGGCAAAGGCTCTGTAAATAAAAACAAAAATATTCTTTTTATTAGGGGACCAAGGTAGAAGAATAATTTTTATTTCTCCCATGCCACATCACTTGGAAATTATCTTTTCCCACTTGCTTACAGATTCTAAAACTCTGACAGAAGCTCAACGGGAAGAACTCTTTGAGAAAATAGATGCAGCTAAGGGGTTTGTAGGATGGGCCCTACACATCCTCTCCCCCAATTTCATCTCAACTAGCATGCAGAGGCGGTGAGTGTGGTAGACACAAGGCAGTCTCTCTATTAGGTAGATTAAATCTTAGGTTTTAAAAGGTGCCACACCTTTCTCTAAAATTGTTCCTTTGCCTGGCCTACCTCTCATTGGAATTGGAACACATGGGTCCTATGGATCTAATTCTAAAGTGGTGTCACTATATATAACGTACACCTGGAGAGTTGGTTGAATTATTATTAACCATCCAAAATGGTGTGTAAGTTTTAGAAGAGTGCAGTATAATGTTTATGTAATTTTTTTTTTAAAAAAGACACATTATAGATCCATATTTTTAATGTCACTCAAAGTTACAAAAAAGTTTGTTTCGTGGATTGTAGAACACAATGGGCCATCCAATTTCTAATTATTTTTATTTGCCCAGAATGAGGATCATTAATTTGTATTTGTTGTATGAAATTGCAACTGCTGCTGACAGTGGATAAATGGAGCAGTGGCTTTTTGCTCTCTGTTTATATTTCTTTGTATATGTATATTCAACAAAGGCAGTATATATGGAGTCACATCTGATTTTTTTCTTCACAACAACTAACCATTTAAGTAGACTGGATTGAGTAAAAATGGCAGTCCTCATCACCCTGGCAGATGTATCAGCAAGTAGGGATTATATCCTAGGTCCCTCTTATCTTAGTTGGAATCCTTAATGACAAATCATATTATCTAGCTAATCTCAGTTTCTATCCACCTCTTTTCTGATGGTTAATTTCATAGTCAATTGCCCTCAGAAGTCAATGTGATTTCCTTTTCCTTGCAGGACAAAGTACAACTTGAATGCACTGTCCCACGATACAGCCATTGGCCTAATCCAGCATGCACTAGATTCTGGAGTGCAAGTTGCAGAGGTGAACTAGCTTAGTGCCCTGGACTGCCAGGAGTAGCAAGAAATTCTTCCTCCTTCCCCTTAAATCCTTCATGGGTATTTTTTGTTTTCAGGTTTATGTAGATACGGTGGGACCAGCGGAGAAATACCAAGAAAAGCTAAAGCAGCAGTTTCCTGAGCTGGAGGTTACAGTAAAGGCTAAGGCAGACTCTCTTTTCCCTACTGTAAGCGCAGCCAGCATCTGTGCCAAGGTGAATGCGAAATTCCTTTGTCTCCAATTCCATGTATGCTATGTTATCTGGCAAGATGCATTACTTGGCCCAGCAGCTCAATCGAACTTCCATCTATAAATCTAGAATGCCACTGATTATAAGACGCAGTGCATAAGGGGATGGGGTTTCCAATAACCATCAGGCTTTTCTTAGTTTAGGCAATAATTTGTCCGTTATTGAAGAAAGAATGCTAAATTATATGGACTTTTCGTATGGTCAATAAGTCAGTCCCTGTATTCTTACAATCTCTAGGTAGCACGGGATCGGATTGTAAAGAATTGGAAATTCTTGGAAAACCTGGAAGAAACAGAATCGGATTATGGCTCTGGCTATCCCAATGGTAAATTCTAGTTTATTCTTTCAGTTCCATCTCTGTACATTTGGAGCTGTGTAACGTGATAGTGATGATTAGATCAGGTGGGTTTAAAATAAGATTAGACAAGCAGAAAATGTTTGCTTTGTGAAGAGCTTCTAATTCAGGGTGACAGCTGGATGGGCATGCTATTTTTCAGGATATTCCATTCTGTAATACCTTTCTCGTCCTCTAAGGCTCTGCACTTGAAAATGGAGGTGGTATGAACGCCAGTTGTAGGAGCCACCATATATTGTTTTCATGCCTTGGCCTAATAGGGCTTTATGTTCCTATGCAGTAATATTGAAAAGCAAAGACATTATTTTCGGTATTCCTACGAGTCCTCTTTTCTCCCAGTCTTATGTTTGAATCGTTATCATTATAATTAAGTGATTTTTCCCCCCAATGAGATGTCATCATTTATCACTCCATTAGGGTAGATGGTTAAGGTGCCCAAACTTCATGTTGTTCAACTGATGCCATAGGTTGCATCTGATGCAATGAAGCTGAGACTAAATTTCCAACTGCTACGACAGAGGTGAGGTTGTAATGTGAAAGTGGAGCTGTAATATGTTGCAATTATAGAGGAGAGAGAGAAGGGAACACTTATCCTAATGTTTGTTATACACTTTGCCTAATCTCTGCTCCTATATCTGAGCTAATGGACTGAAATATATTGTTTGATAAAAGGGCAGCATTAATATGCGGAGTCTCTCGGCCATCTCTCCTCTCCCCAGATCCCAAGACTAAAGAATGGCTCGCTCAAAACCTGGAACCAATCTTTGGCTTCCCACAGTTTGTACGATTTAGCTGGAGCACAGCTCAGCTCATTCTGGAGAGCAAAGCTGTGCCTGTTCATTGGTAAGTGGATGGAAGAGCTATGAGATGGATTGATGTATAAAGATTATAATGGAGAACTAAGGAAAACTTACATAACGTCCTATACACTCCTACTAATAAATAAATAAGGTGGCAAGCATACTTAATACCCCTCTCTTCTCATATTTTCTCCACAACAACAACCTTGTGAGGTAGTTTGGTTGAGAGAAAGTGACTGGTCCAAAGTCATCCAGTTGGCTTTCATGCCTTAAGGTGGGGCTAAAACTCACAGTCTCCTAGTTTCTAGGCAAGCACCTTAATCACTGCAGCAGAGTGGTGGAGAATAGGAAGTGCATGACATAGTAGTATTGATTGTACACCAAGTAGGGATGAGATGAATATAGATGACTAATGAGAGTAGGTGAAAAAAGTGGGTTTTGAATAGTAGGGATGTAGGGAAGATTAAATAGTAGGAATGTGGATTATATTTGATCTGAATGGGTCAACTTTCTATCTGCAGAATTTATTCCTCAAAATGATTTATCATTTATGAGCAAGGGATTTCTGTCTCTCTTCAAGGTTTAGTTCTGCTTATTCCCTAATGTCTTTTCTCTACTTCATAATATGAATTTCTCCCTATCTTTGCTTCCTTCTTCAGGGATGATACTGAAGATGACCCATCCCAGCAGAGTGCAAAGTCCCTGCTGAGCTACTTTACCCGGAAAGTTTCCCCCGTCAAGCATACACCCCATCGCTTCTTTTATGAACGCAAACTTGAGACAGTGACCAGCCTGTAGTGGATGGCAGGTGGTTTTTGTCTTGTTCAAAATCATCTTACTTTGGCTTGACAGAAAACTTTCCTGATGTAACGTCTACTTTTTAATGGGAAGTCACAAATCGTTTGAGCCATAGCTACAAAACAGTGTGAAACCCAAAGGTTCAACTGAAAGATACAAAATTAAACAGAAAGAATCTGATAAATGTTCTTCCTGGAGGCCCTCCTGCCCTTGTGACTAATTCCTTTTTAATTAATAAATTATCTAAAACTGATAGCGAGACTTTTTGTTTGATGTAAATTAATAGGTACTGATGCCTAATAAAAGCTAATCGAATATAATTGAGATGCATGAATGCCAGGAAAAGCTGCAAGTGAAAGATCACACTTTTTAAAAATGACCTCTCTTGAGCTTCCGGTTTGCCATAGGCACCTTCAGACGCATGGAGGCGAACTCCGTCTTCAGCGTCCAATTTCTATCCCACTGGGGGACCCTGGAAAGGGTCGAAAGTAGCCCTGTAGGGGTGACGAACGAGGAGGGGATCCCTGTTTGATCGCGGTAGGGCAGTAGCCCTCCCGCTTGATCTGGGGCAGCTCTCCAAACTGGCGGGGGAAAGACCGGCCATAGCAATATGGCTCGTCATTAAGCTGCTGACAGCCTATCAAAATTATTACCAAGCACCTTTAAAGCAACGTGGATGAAACTAGGTGAGATATGATCTTCTCTTTAAGACTCTAAATATCTTTCCTGAAAAAGCTGCCCTAAGTATTCTGCCGCACCCTCTATGAAAGCGGCGACTGACTACCCAGGGAAACAAAGCAATTATAAAAACAATTTTAATCTAATTGGATGCATATACTTTTGAAATTTAGGGACTAAAAAGTTTTCCTAATTTTTTTTCTTATTCCTATTTCTACTGGATATGCTGACTTTTATCTAAAAAGAAAAGAAATAAACTTTGAAAAACTATTATAAAAAAGGGGGACTTAAAAGGTTTTAAACAGCATCGGTGACATCTTGTGGCAAAGTTTGGTATTACAACTTGTTGCCTAAAAGAGACTTGGCTTGAAGCCCAGACTACAGATAAAACTCTTTGGACCTTGAATACCACCTGTGAGAAACTCAGCTGTAAAGAGAACTTCTGGGCAGCATAATTGGCTTGCTTGAACTATGAATGTGAACCTTTACTGACTTTCAGAGTTATATGTGGGGAATTACCTTCCTATCTCTTTATTTGAGGAACATTAGTTATTATATGAGATGATGAAATACTTTGGACTATAAAATCTTACTTGACAAACGACTTCTACTATAAAGTCTACCTATAAACACGTGAAATAAGGGTCCCAAACCTAGTTATAAAATTATTTTTAACGTCTGATTTTAAAGTCCTCAACTTAACACATTGTTAAGAGAATATGGATGAAGACCAGGAAAAGATCCTTTCCATGTTGAAAGCAATACATGAAACCATTCTTTCAGTTTCTGACAAAATAAGACCGAACATAAAAGAACAAGATGCCCGCTTAGATACACAAATCTAAATTTTGACTACAACCAAAGAACTAACTGCAGAAGATAACAGAAGAAGTGGAACAATCAAATACTAAGACAGAGGACTCAATTGACCAGCAAATATAGTTAATGGAAAATCCAGAAAAGGGATTGACAACACTGAAAATGGAAAAGACTTTCTATATAAATCAGAAGAAATTTGAGAAAGAACAGATTGAATGGAAGATAAACATATCAGGACAATCATGGGGAATTGGAATAATAGGGAGATGATTGAATAAATACAAATGGGCTAGCCCTTCCAAAAAAATGGTCTAAATGGTCTCCCTTATTTCAAATAATATATATAATAATAGAGGGAGATCTATTTTATTTCCGGTGTCTTGGAAAAAATGCCGATAGCAAACAATGGGCTTGCTTACTGGCCCTGATACATATAAATAAAACTAAAGCTGGGCTACATAATGAAATTAATGAAAATTACTTCTATCTATATAAATAAAAATGTAAATGTTCGTTTGTTCAAAATCTTAAATCTCTGAAAGTTCTTCGATTGCTTTGAAATTTTGACACAACGTTGCATTCGAATACGCGCGTGTTTTTATATGCCTACTATTATATAGATGTCACACCTGTGACAGGTAAAAACATGCTTTTTTCAAAAAACAGCACCATCTGTTGGATGTAAATTTAACCAGACTGAGCCACAGCAACACGTGGCCGGGTACAGCTAGTTTAAAATAGAAATAAAATCATACAGGAAAGCTTTCTTAGTTAAGACTTCTTTTGTAGAACATTTTTTGTCCAGTTTTGATATCCCTGAAGTGAAGTTGGACTACTGTTTGGAAAATATCAAAGGTTGAAGGAACTATTCGTGATCATGAAACTGAAATGAGGTCCCTGTTTGAAATTTCACTTAAACCATAAACTGTTTTGCTGACCTTTCAACCCATCTCCTGGCACCATAGTTATCCCCTTTATGGGGTTGTTAAGAAACCTAAAGGAAGCACCATCGAAATATTGCTTTACTGCTGTTGCTTGGCACTGATAGGACACTGCCTCAGTGTAGAGTAGAGTAAACTTTTTGCACGTTGTTGTTAATTGCGAAGCCGTGTCCAACCCATCGCGACCCCATGGACAACGTTCCTCCAGGTCTTCCTGTCCTCTGCCATCTTCTGGAGTCCATTTAAGCTCACGCCTACTGCTTCAGTGACTCCATCCAGCCATATCATTAATAATGTGTTATCTCTCCAGCCCTGTTACTCCTTTGATGTATATACAGTAATTCCATTTTGTCTTCCAAGTTTGCACATGCTCTTCTATTTCAGTTCCTCATCTCTTTCCTCTCTGAAAGCTTGGCATGTTTTTTTCTATTTTAAGACACTCCTCCCCCTCTTTGAACAAGTTCCTTTCATTTCTCTTCAAGAGCCTTGAAGATTTGCTTCTGTACCAAGCCTCTTTTGACATAGAGGAATATTAGTGTACTTGCGTTTGACTATCCATCCTCCCTTCTTATCTGTCTAAATTAATTTCCAGGCTTTCCATCTCTTTTCCCTTTCCTCAGAGGCTAAGTCATATTGTATTCTCCTTGGCAGTGATATTACATGGCCTCCTCAGCAGGACATAACAATCCTATTTCAGAGTTATATAATCCAATCTTGAAAGCTTAGTGTAGTCCATAAATAGATAAGCTTGTGGCCTGCAGATGCTGTTTGATTCTCAGCAGCTCTAGGTAGCATTGATAATGGTGAGATACATTGGGAGTTGTAATTCAACAATATGTGGATGCCCTCTGATTGTGGAACCATGGAAAAAAGACAAGTTATTTACATTAATTACATTACATTAATATCCTATGTGTCATTTCAAAAAATGCTTTTACTATAATGCCAGTTGCCCAGATGTTGGTATGCCTTCATGCAGTGTGTGTAACTAGTCACTATATTTTGTGAAAAATCAAAAAGGGATATTTTGAACTATGAATAGACATTTTTACCACATTTCTGTTTAATTTGCCATTGTCCATAATGTCATTACGCATTTAACCAGGTTGGCTGTTTCCCTGGTCAAATCCTACCTGTTTTAGTAACAACCTTTGGGAAGTGTGTAATATACAATTTCTCAAAGAAATGCTGGTTTCCCATAAGCCCTTGCACCAGGAGAGTATTGGCAAGGTTTCATGATATTACTAACCCTCTTTTATCTGATGTATGATAAATTGAGCAGAGATTCTTCTTTTCATAACTATATGCGTGTATTCTAGAACAGGGCTTTTCAATCAGTGGTACGGGTACCACCTGTGGTACATTGGCACCTGGCAGGTGGTACGCGACCACTCTAGAAAAGTGGTAGCGGGGGAGGGGAATGAGCTGAACCGGTGGCAGCACCGCACAAGCCTGAGCGAGAGATGGCTGGAGCTGCAGGGCTGTCAGGGCTCAGCGGAAGCGCCAGGATCAGTGCCACTTTCCAGCTGATTGGCGCTTCTTCGGGGCTGTCAGGGCTCAGTGGAAGCGCCAGGATCAGCGCCAGGCTCCAGCTGGAGCTTGGCGCTGATCCTGGTGCTCCTGCTGAGCCCTAAAGAAGCACCAATCACCTGGAAAGCAACACTGATACTGGCGCTTCTGCTGAGCCCAGAAGAAGCGCCGATCAGCTGGAATGTTGCAGCATCTCCACGGTCTTGTGATTTACATTCAGATGCTTGGCAACTGATTCATATTTATGACAGTCAGTGTCCCAGGGTCATGTGAAGTGACCAAAACCTCTGCAACCACCCAGCAGACGGGGGGGGAATAAAAACCAAACACCCCCCACCCTCGCTGCCAATTCTCAACAGAAATGCTCACAACAATGAAAACCTTGGACAGGAGGAAGAGCGCCGCCGGGTGGGCAGGCAGGTGTCTTGCTCGGCTGTGGCTTGGGGGGCACTTTTTTCAGTGCCATTGTAACTTCGAATAGTCACTAAGCGAACTGTTGTAAGTCGAGGACTACCTGTACTTTATCACTTTTTTCCTTTTTTTTTTTTTTGGTCATCAAGTTTTTGACACCTTGCTAGTCGACTGGTGGTACTCGGATATTGCCATATCCTAAAAGTGGTACAATGGGTGAAAAGGTTGAAAAGCCCTGTTCTAGAATAATCACTTAAGATTCAGTCCTCCACTTTGATTTTTTTACACTCTCATAATAAAACACAAACACGCACTCCATTTTTTTTTAATTTCCCCACAATATTAACAGGTTTGAATCCATCCATAATATGAAATTTGTGGTAAGCATAGCCAAGGTAAACAGGAATGTGAAATGCAGCTGATAAATGAGGATGGACGGACAGACAGAGATGGGTCTGTAGAATATTATACGGGAGATTTGTATAGTGTTTAGAGTGGAGAGGATAGTTGGTGGATGAAGCTCAAGAAGCACTACTTAAAGATGTGAGGGGCAAAAGCACGACAACTCTTGGAGTCTCACTGCCACCACTGATTAGATGTGTTTCTGACTGGCATATATCTACACTGATAACCGGTTTAGATGCTATGTACATTATCCAAGTGTTTGAAACCTTTTCCTCGACATAGGGATTGTTTATTACATAATCTTGCTCTTTTGCGACCTCTCTCTGTCTCTCCACCCCTCTCAGATTGGGTTGCTTTGAAAAATAAATTCAGTTTTGGATGTAACCCAGTTTAGTAACCTAGCAATGCTGGTCCCTCAGTAACTATTGCTTTCTAGCATACAAATGCAACAGGAAAGTCAGCCATGCTGGTCTCGAATCTAACTTCCCCTATTTTCCCTTTTCTTTTTGAGCTCAGGAAGATCCTTCCATTTTACTTGAGTCCTACTTACAATTGTATTTGAAGCCATGGCAACAACTGAGGCTAACCTTTCCAGCACTGATTATTTCACTCAGCAATCACCACCACCCCCCGGCACTTGTTTGTTCTCTCCCTTGCAGATATTTTCCTTCAGCTAATGCCTATGAAGGTTGCTTTCCCTTCAGCTCACGCTCTTGAATGGCCTTTTGCGTTCTGTGGTGACTCTTCCATGAGCCAGCTCTTAGAACATGAAGAATATGGAGAGGGAAATGCTTATTGTTCTCTAATTCCATTTCTACTCTGAGTATTTGGGGAAAACTTGGTTCTAGGCAAGTTCCTAAGAGGTGCCCTAATGGTCTAATGCTAGGGCATAGGGCTCAGAGTCCTAGAAGGTGCCAGATTCACAGTCTACTACGCCATGAGATGCACAGAGTTGTAGAAGATGGCAGGAAGCTGGTAGTATGGGATGTAACAGAATTGCATAGATCACAAGCGATCCCCCCAAGCCCCAGGCAATCACTGGAGAGGGGTTTTTTTTTTTCTTCTGGAAGGATGGTTGCCTTGGATTAGAATCCACTTCCACTCCCCTCCATGTCTTCCACGAAAATAGAACGTTTCTGCAGATTCCTTCTCAGACGCTGAAGTAAAAGATTGCCCCTGCAAGGGCTCACACGATCTTTTCTTTCCTTGCGTGCCTTGTTGATGCCTACCTCTTTTAGGCTGTTGCTGTCTTTGAGGTGAGAATAAGAGAAGGCTGTGTCAGAGGCATCCAGCATCAGGCATTGGCAAAGGTCGGTGCTTACTATGAAAGCATCGTCCCAGATGTTCTCACACAGCTCCTTGCCATCCTTATACATCTAAGGGGGAAAAAGAGGTCCCGTGTTACAAAGGACTTCTTCCTCTGGAGGCACAACTCTAACCCCATTCAGGTTTGAAAGCAACTGGAATGGATTCTGAAGTTTAGAAACTTAGGAATATGAAAAGTATTGCAGTCTTGCCCCCCCCCCCCACCCCAAATGCATGATCCAGAGAACATGGCTTGATTTCTAAAAATGAGAACCATTGTGACTTAATTTTTTTCAGGAAGTCATGTTCCTGTCCATAATGGTGATTATTCTATCCCTTGTGTAGAATATAAGTGATACTTCTGTGTGGGTATACTATGATAGGCTTCATAACATTAAAGACACTTCATTTATTAATGTTGCACAGATACTTTCATGGGGAAGGAAAGGATTAAACGTGGCAGGTGAATCCATAAAAGGGCCATCAGCCATCACCCCTTTCTAAGAAACGTATCTTTCCTATTAGCTTCAAGACAAGACACCGTCATCCTCTTGCCTGCATTTCTATTTCAGTATACAAGCTACTGTATATGTTGTTGAAAAAGACAATCCAATCATTTTTAGTGAGGAGGTCAGTAGAAAATAATGGACAATTCCGGCTTATCTCAGATTCTATATTTCATGGTAAATAACCTTTGTCTATCAATAACTATTCCAATCCTGTATATTTGTTTATAACCAAAGATTAAATTGTTGCTTTCTAAGTTCCACAATATTTCAAGAAAACAAACACAATTATGGCAAGGAGTTAGGAATGATAAGGAAGTTGTTACTGCTACATAAGCTTTAACTTTCAGGTATTTTTCATTTGAATTTGCCACTTTGAAAAAGTGGCAGATTTTTCTGTCACACAAGCCGTTAGTATACATCGTAAGCTAATTATATGTAAACTAAGTGTATGTAATAAGAATTCATGAAGACCATTGGGAATTGCCAGGCTGTGGGAAACTGAAAACAACCTGCAGGAAGAAGACATTTTCTTACAAATATTTGGCTGTATCTGGCATTTTCTCTTTTCTTCCCATTTCCTATTTCCTTACCCTCTGAGAATACTTTGATTTTTTTTTCCTTGAAAGCTGGAAATCATTCAGATTTGAGAAAAAAGCAAGTTTTGCTATAAAAATCACATGAGTTAAAATATACTCAAACTGTATGGAGCAAGTATTATTATTAATACGGAAATCTTTAGATTGGTTTTTAGTGTAATTGGTGCCTTTCAGGAAAATGCAGTTCCTGTTTTTCTCCCCACTTTCCACAGTTACTCTTCCCAAACTTGCTTCAGTTTCGGAAGCCACAGCCTACGCATCATTTTCAGGCCCTGCACAAACATACGCCATATGTTCCCTCATATAAACATGCGATGATCTCATCCAATACATACACATTTTAAAAACATTTGTTTGAATTCTGAAATTAGGTTTTCTGTATTTCTAAAACTCCTCTACTCCATAAGCCAAGATATCTGTACCTTTATCCCCCACGCCAACCCCCCCCCCACACCCCACACCTCTGAAGGGGCAAACTGTTAAGCTGAAAGAGATTAATCACCAGAAGTGGCTTTAATTAAATTGTATGTTTGTTTGTTCTGGTCCAATTTGCCTTTTGCCTTGGCTTTGCCTCCTTTTTGGAATGTTATCTTCAGCAAATTGGCCCTTGGCCAAAAAAGCACAGACACCTTTAGGCTACAGCGTGCAACGGAAGGGATGGTTCTGCTCATGACTGATCAGCACCTTTAGTGTCCTCACCTGGCCAAAGGAATGACATTCCTGACTGCAGTTATGTTCATCAGCTCCTCCGGGCCAGTTGCCAGGGCAGGTCAGATCCTCTCTGCAAGCATCGTACCTGAGTGGATAATAAGTCTGAGTGCTAAGAAAGACAGCTCATTGCCATTTGACTCAACACTAATAGACCCCAATTTACTCAGTGATATTTTATGATAAACTAGAAATTTGAATTTGAAATTTCCTGGGGTAACCCCCACCCTTTTCAGTTCAGGAAGGGACCTCCAATTTTTATATTCAACCCAAAAAAGCCGACATCTTTTCACTTCCTGGGTTAACTTTTACTAATTGCTGATAGCTTCTCTGCCCTCCTCTGAGCACCCTACCCCACACATTTATTCATTTTTTAAAATATTATACTTTATTACATTGGCTAACAAATAATAAAAGCAAAAGAATGAGAATGTTCTCCAAACAACATTTGTTTTCCTTTGCTACCCAAGTCAAATTTCCACAGCTAAATCATCGGTCTTGCCCGATGTTGATTTTCCAGAATTGAATGAGTTACCTTGTTGGGGGAAAAAAAGTTTTTAAGTTTTAAAAATATATTTTCTCTAAAACAGAGCTGAACCAATAGAGAATAGGATACTAGTTCTCTCAATTTTTTTTAATAATTTAAAATTACTATATCAGGCTATTATATCTGTTTGTCTCATAGATGGTAGCAAAGACCTCCTTTGCTGCCATTTAATGCTTGTCCAGATTTTTGCAGCCCAAACACGATAATCCTAAATAACACTTATCTAAATAATGACCTTAAATATGTGTATTTCTTCCAAAAGGTCTCTTCTTTTCAAATTAGCAGGTAAAGGTTCATGGTACTAGTTAGCCCAATGCTTTCAGTTATAGAAAAGAAGACAGAGCTTCTTGTTAAGTTTCTCTAGAGTCTTTTACCTTCATCAATAATTATACTTAATTCTTCTTCCCTATCAGGATGGCCTCTTCTAGATGTGGAGACATGTGATAACTTACCATTGGTCACAGAAACTCTGGCAGAGAGGCACAGCCATCAAGGCTATGGGTTGTCGAGGATGAGGCCATTCAGCAGCAATGGGGGAGCAGTGGTAAAAACAATCCAGTTGCTGAAAGTACTCTTCACAACTGCCAAAAGGAATGAAACAACAGCAGGCATAAATATTAACCCTAAGATGCAGGGGTAAAAAGCAAGCCAGGCATCAACTCCTGCCATCTTGGTACTTAGTGATCAGTAAGGCTGGCTGAGGAAAGGTCATGAGACAGGGCCCAGCTCCACAACCCATAGGGGCCTGTTCTGGACCAATCAGTTAGATAGGTCTGTATTTTAGAATGTTTGGCATTTATTGGGTTAAGCGCTGTCTCCTTAAGAGATGGCTTATGGGTAATGTAGTTTAACTAGTTAGTTGATCCCACGTTAACAGGTCAGTAGGAGGAGCTACTAAGTTCTTCACAGGATATCCTAGCTACGTGCCAGTTTGGAATGCCTTTGTCTGAGATAAGCATGGGACCACCGCAGAACACACAGGGTCCCATTCCACGTTAGAAGTTGATATGGAGGAATTATTGATTTCTTACTGTTCTGTGACCTGAATAAATATCTGTTTTACAATCATCTTTATTGAGTTATCTGTCTGTGCTTGAATTATAAAAGCATCTTGATTCAGGTCACAGAACAGGGCCCATGACTGACACAGGAGGGGTCCTCTTTTTTATTTTTTGCAGAAGAGCAGAGGAAGGGCTGACCTATTGCTGAGGCTTCCACAGCGATTCCAGGATCCAGCATTGGCTTTGGAAAGTTCCTGGGCAACTTCTGGTGAGCAGCAGGCATCTATAGAAAGAAATGATCTGTCAACATCTCCATTTCTTTGGAGTGAGAGTAGCTATAGTATTAGCCTTCTGAAAACTGTCCCTCTAACAATTGCAGCCCAAACCAAGGAAGATGTATGCCAGATGAACACAGTCAAAATCAGGTTATAAACTCCCAGCAACTCATCAGTTATTTTCCTTTGACTTATCTTGTTTTCAGGATTTTAATTGTAAGGCACCCACATTTGCTGTGGAGTCGGGTGGCCTTGCAATTATCATCATCATCATGAACATCATCCATATTATAGATATTTTATACCAGTGGTTCTCAACCTTTTTAATGCCGCGACCCCAACCGGTCGTAAGTCGAGGACTAAACCGGTCGTAAGTCGAGGACTAAACTGGCCGTAAGTCGAGGACTACCCAACTGGTCGTAAGTCGAGGACTTTCCCTGCCCAGGAGCGCCGCGCATGCGTGGTTCCGCCCCCTGCGCCGGCCGAGGCGTAGCTAGCAAGCGGCAGAGACGGAGCAGGCCAACCACCAGCTGGCCCAGCCCAAGGGAGGTAAGGCGCCCGCTGGAAAAGGGGAAAAAATGGCGGACAAAAAAAATGGCGGACAAAAAATGGCAGACAGCCTTGCTTGGCGACCCCCGTGAAATGGTCGATCGACCCCAAATGGGGTCCTGACCCACAGGTTGAGAACCGCTGTTTTATACTCTCTCATCCTATAATACTCTCATTTTCTCTCCCCACCACATAATTCTACAAGCTTCTATAGAGAAGCAATACTTACTTTCTGCATAAATCTGGCAGACACCCAGTTCTTCTTCTGCACTTGGATTGGCTTTGTGTTTCTCTCCAGGTAAGCAGTGACCTTGTGTGTTCTTTGCATTGGCCCAAAACATGGTCAGTGCCGAAGCCATCACCATTATCCAATTTGTATTGCCACCACCTCTCATGACTAGAATATCAAGGGCAGAGGAAAGAAGGAAAAACTGAATTGGTCTGGAGAGGTTTGCTTCTCCTGTTTTCAAGCATGCCAGCCAGCCAATCAGGTTATGGGAGATGGGCCCCTAACCCCCCCCCAGGTATATCTTCCCCCAGTAACTCCCTGAATACATCATACTTTCATCTCTCCCTGAATCTTCCTTCTTTCTTGATAAGCTGCTAAGATGCTGAAATTATACTATTCCTATTGTTCATTGTTTGACATCTGCAGCTGTGGTCCACCCTCATGGCTAGGTAATTCCAGGCAGCCAGCCATAGGCAATTCTATAGCACCCAGATTAGGGCTAGCTGTCATGAGAAACAGGAAGCAGCTCCCTTCTTAAAGAGAAGATATTCTTAAGAAAAATGTGAATGCCTCCATCTTCATGGAGAAATTAAGAAATGTGTTAGCCAATTGCTCATTTATATAAACGAGCATGAAACCGGAGGACACACATCCAGGAGAGATTTATACTAGGTGGGCGAAGAGGGTGGAGGTTTTCACTACAGTTCAGCCTGCAGCAATTTCCACAGCGATCCCCATGCTGTAGGAAAGTGCCAACAGCTTTATGATATGACATAAAAGTCACTGTTGAGGGGCTTAACTAAATGCAATATCACAAGTAATGTGTGGAGAGGTGTCCCAGTTATAAATCCTCCTGACCCAGAGGGCAATCTGGACTTGCAATGGTATTGTGCTTAAATGAACACATTCTTGGCTGCTACGGGCCCCCATTTGCTATTGGCTCTAAACCTCACTTTGAGAGACAGGTTAAATATGGAAGAAAAGGACACTTTTTACCAGAACAACCCAAGGAAGGTTGTGATCCATCTGAGGAATAGAATCTTAATACGGGAGGGTTGAAAACATGGCCACTTGAGACCACCCCTAACATCTCTTTCACTTTTATTTTTCTTGCTTCTTTGGAATTTTTCATTCAAATACTTAGTAATCATTCTTCCTCCTCCTCATTCAATGAAAAAAAACAAACTGAAACAAAACACAGATGAAGGGGAGGTAATTATGATCAGTCAGAAAGCCTGAAGCCGATGGCTTGTCAGTGCAAAGGTATATCAGCACTGCTATGTCAGCCTGTTTCCTGAGGCTCAGCATGCATTGCCACCCATGGACACAACACGTCTTGTGTGTGTCAGTTATGTCTAACTCTCATCTGTGGAAAGATATGGGCTTTAATTAATGTTTACAAAGTGTTCTGATAAGCCTGAAGATAGAATTGCAGTCAAATGGGGGGGGGGGGGGAAGGAAGGTAAGATATAGGCAGATGATGGCACCAGAGACAGAGGAACAGCAGAGGCATAAGATGTTTAATAGACAATATAAAGCCCATCACATCTCATCTCCTGCTTCCTGATACAGCTTGTACACCCTCTTTCAAATTTGGCTGTTTATTTTTTGTTTTATTCCATTTACAAAATATTGCCAGTACAACAAAAAATATAAATACCAAGTCTGATATATTTAGAGGGTAACGGCTATAAATACCCTATGTAATATGCAATTAGAGGAGAAAAAAAATTCATGGTAATATGTAATTGCAAAGAAAATCAGTTTAAATTTTGACAAAATATCCATCCATCCATCCTCCACTACTGTATGCCAACTGTCAATTTATCTTTCCAATGTTGCAACTTAGTTCTTTGGCACCCACTGCCCATTGCAAGAAATATTAATCATATGAGCAATTAAGTTCATGAAGTCCAAAATATTGGGGACATGGACACTATGCATCTTATGCACATACAGAAATCACCTGGTGATCTAGCATGTTATCTTTCTTCCTGTCCCTTGTCAAATCCTCACATACTTCCTACAAGTGTGGGTCTTGAAAAGTAATGAGCCTTTGTTAAAAATGATAGAAATAAAACAGAGGTCTCCCAGCTTCCAAGTTATAGATTCCAGACATTCTCTGCTGTTCATTTTCTATAAAGGGGAACATATATTGGTGAACAAAAAACATTTGATCCATACTTCCTGCAACTTTTGTTGTTGGGTCCTTGAACAAATTGTGCCAGAGGGTAAAATCTTACTACAGCAGCAACTATTTTCAAGGCAAGGTGTCTCTACTCCATCCTTTCTTTTGCGATATCAAATTTTGGTGATGCAGTCCATGAAATAAGGTGAAATACAAGTCCAGGTTTCCAGTTTCCTAGAAACAGAGTCACCTTAAGTATTAAGATGCAGAAATTTGACAAGAATTTTTTGTTTCAAAGCAATGGATAATGAATAAAATCAGTTTTGTAATGCCTCCTGGCTAAGATATGTACAAAATGATCTGATTCCCTCATATTAAACTATTGCTTTTTAATCATGAATTGATGAATAGGTTAAGTTCAAGCACTATGCTAAGCCAAAACCAGCAAAATTATTTTTGGCCACGTTTGCTTATTATAGTATGCTATAAGTTCTCAGATATGCTTTTTGAATAAAACACAATATATTGGGTTTACCCAGCGCTCTAACTCAAAAGTCATGGTTTACAATCTTCAATTTTATTTATTTTTAAATTGTACATGTTATCTTTAAAGCCAAGGGGTTTTTTCCCCCAAAGAGTTGGTTATGATGCTAAGAGTAAAATGCTTAATTTTCATCAGCTTAGTTCAAGCAGGATCTACATAATAACATGCCTCCTTTAGCATTACAGAAATGTTAGTGATAGTGAGATATCTGCAACCAATTAGAAGTTGTATCATAGCAATTATGGTGCTACATTTAGCCGTAAATGCTGAAGAACCATGATCCCTCTAACAAACTGCAATTGCAATCCATAAAGGCAAAAGTAAAACATGAATACAGGTAGTCCTCGACTTACAACAGTTCATTTAGTGACCATTCAAAGTTACAATGGTGCCAAAAAAAGGGGCTTCTGACCATTTTTCACATCTACGACCGTTGCAGCATCCCTGTAATCACGTGATCAAAATCCAGACACTTGGCAACTGGTTCATATTTATGACGGTTGCAGCATCCCAGGGTCACGTGATCCCCTTCTGCAACCTTCTGACCAGCAAAGTCGATGGGCAAATTCGATTCACTTAACAACCATATTACTAAATTAACAACTCCAGTGGTTCACTTCACAATTGTGGCAAGAAAAGTCGTAAACTGGATCAAAACTCACTTAACAAATGTTTCATTGAGCAACATAAGTTTCGGCCTCAACAGTGGCCGTTAAGTAGAGGACTGCTTGTATTTATATGTTGTCAATAGTCTAATCTAATTTACCTCATGTTTTGTTGGGGCTCTTGCATTTTAACATTAAAGACCGTAAGAACTGAAAAAGAATAGAAATGCAGGGTCTGGCAAATTAATGGTGGCACTGAGGAAAAAAAATACCTCTGCAGGATATGAAACTGGAGAAATACAGCAGCCTGTGGAGATAAAAACCTCAATTTCAACCAAACCCCGACTGATTAGCTGTCTGGGAAAGGAGAATGAATTGAGTTTCCTGTGGCTCCTCCCAAACTTTCCAGGAGGACAAGATTAATGGGGATGGGAATTGTGTCATGATCTCAGGGATTTTTTCCTCCCAGATGCATCAATAAAGCTATGTTGTTCGCAAATGAAAAAATGGCGCTGCTCTGAAAAACCATGGGTGGGGGAAGCATCAGTGCCAAATCATTCTCTCTGCATTTATTACTCCAAACTTTTAGTCACGTCTCTGCTTCAGCTGTCATTAATAATCCTGGGCTTCCATGTCAAACCCTGTCTCATAAATCTTATTTCATAAAATACAAATTACGGGCTGTTTTGCTGCTCAAAGTATTTGACAGTATTTCCCCCCTTTTTACTGCAAAAGGTGGCAGAATTTAATTGACCTTGTCTGGGTTCAAAAGCTAAGCAGGGCCAGATCTAGCTAATACATGGATGGGAGACTATTAGGAAATGTCAGGGCTGTAGGTTAGTCTGGGAAATTGAAAAATATCCCGGAGGAAGGCAAAAGCAAACAATTTTTCATGCTGCTGCCAAGAAATTTAATGCATGTCTATAAATCCCAGGAGTCAAGCTTAACTCAAAGGAGATATTACCTTTAATACAATACACACATATACAGTATCCAGGTCAGTCATAAAGGAGAATGATAGTTTCTCCTGTCAGGCATGGTCTTTTGCATACAAAGGGGAGGGAAGTAATGCAGTGTGTTATGTAGAAACTCCACCCCTTATGTATTTATGTACACAAAAATGCAGAATTTGGATTGTAATGGCATGACATGTTTCGTCCTTTACTGTTATCAAGGCTATCTGCAGAACCCTCTGTCTCTTCCTTGTTCCTGTTACCCGTACCACCAACTCTGGATTGTTTGAAAAGAACTAAGCCACAATTCCAGTTTCAGATGATAAATTAAACAAAGCATGACTGGCATCATCTGTACTATCTTAGCTGTGGAAGATCCAGTAAGGGTTTGTCAGTAAATCATAATGCAGCATCAGATAATCAAAACTGGAATTGCCTATGAATTCAATTCTTTTGAGTCTACTTCAGCAAGTTTCCACTGGTTTTTAATTTTTTCATGATTTCCCAATTTGATTGTAAGCAATCCCAGTTCCAAACTCTTTCTTGAACTCTCAAAGATCTCGAATTGGAATATTTTCTAATCTCACTTTACATCCTTGCTTTTTATTGTATCTTTTGCAAACATAATTTGTTTTCCTTTATGATACTTCTAGTGATTCCAATAATCCCATAAATAGAAAAGCAGGAGACCAAATGTTTGAAAATAAATCTTGGCATTCTAGTTTATAAGACTAGTTTTGAGAGCTTGAATATATTCAAATTTGAAGTGACTGCCATCCTAAGAGTTGGAGGCAACTTCCATTGCCCCTGCACCCTATAAGATCCCCTTTAGAGCTAAATACCGGTAGCTAAATCTTTATGGAGGGATATTCACCAAGCCTAGCAGCACAAAGGGGTCATCCATTATTAAATCTTCCTTTCTTGGCTGACATTGAACAGTGACTCTCACGTGGCTTTATTATGAGCCATCCTTTTATTCCCTGGCACACAGCCTGGAAAATACTGATGGCCTGGAAAATACTGATGGCCTCAATCCCAACACAGATTAGGGACAAGTTTCTCTGAGCAATTGTCACCCTTGTGCAATTACAGCAATCAGTTCCTCCAATGATCACAGTGGAGCACAAGAAAGGAACCCTTAGAAGCAAAAAGTTCTATGGACACATGTCAGGAATATTAGGCTTCCTTGCTCATTTTTCTGAACAAATCTGATTTGCAAAACATCTTCAAGAAATCAGCCAAAACGTATCAGGTCAGATTAGAATTAACAGGATTCCGTCCAGAACTGTAAAAAGAGCATCTTATTTGGAGTTTTATTTGAATCAAAGGTCACGTCCAGAATTTAGTGTTTGTTTGCGGGTCGGGAGGGGGGTTGCTTGTTTTAAATTAGAGCAAAAGATTCCATAAAGTACTTTTCCTGATTATAGACACCTAATATTTTAGTAGGCTTATAGACAAAACTAAATCCCAACATTTTAATTTTCTTATTTCTAGCACCAAAAATAGACAGATACACAAGGAATAGGATGGATACAGTGTTGTCATGTTTTTCTCCTCAAGATAAATACTTATGGTTTCGTGCAAATTATAATTCAACCCTGTATCATGTGTACGTTAGCAACTCACTTTTCAAGTTTCAGGAATCCATACATCTTTGCCAGTATATTCTATACATTACATTGATTTACACATGGAAAATAATACACGCACAAAAAAATAAACATTCTTTAGAATCTGTAATTATAAGCATCCTTATTTACAAAGCAGTCTCATAAAGTTCAACAGAATTTGTCTCCAGATCATTAGGTATGTGATTACAAACTTACTATACTATCATATTGAGTTAAGAACAGGCAAACATGCAGAATGAATTAAGAATGGGTGCTTACTTTAAAGTATGCCTATGTGTGTATGCCTTGTGTTACTTTCCAAGTAACACAAAGTTCTTAATTCATTTCATATATTTGCCTATTTTCTTAATCTAAATCTTCTTAATCTAAAATTTATTTAGAAATTAGCTCAGTAAACTTTGCTTATTTGGGACCCATGCTGTTCAAAAGAATAGTTCATTAATAAGCTATGTGTCCCTCTCTCTCCCTCCCTCTCTCTTTCTCTCTCTCTCTCTCTCTCTCTCTCACACAGACTTCTAAAAATTTGGAGCAAACTGGGCATCTTGTCCTTTTCAGGAAAATCTTATTTTTCCACATAGATGTATTGTACATAAATTCTAATTGAATATATTCTTCTGGTTCCAGTTTACCAGTTACAGAAGCCTCCTCAATTATCACAGAGTTCCATATTTACTATAGGATGCAGGTTATAGTAAAACTGCTGCCAACAAAGAGCTGTTTATGAATTATAATTAGTTTCATGTATTCATAAATTAACTGTTTCTAAACTCCATTATGCACAACTTTACTTTAAAGGGGGAGAGGAAGGGGAGGAGAGGTTATGTTGCAGAACCTGCCCAGTGGAATGGCACACCCCCACCCCCACCGCTCTCAATCCCCAGATTGGGAGGGTCCCAACTATCTTGGCTTTCAGAAGACTGTGAAGACCTGGTTTTTCTCCCAGGCATTGGGCAAGAATAAGGAGCCAGCCCAATATAGGTATGGTGTGTGTGAGAAGCAGTTTATGGTGCCTAGTGATCATATTATGACTGTTTTTAATGCGGTGTCATTTGCTGGAGTTTGAACAAATCTTCTTAGAGATTTATTTATATTGTGTTTCTTTTTTTTTGTTAGCTGCCCAGCATTCATATGGGTGGCCATATAAAATGTCTAGTAGATAAATAAACAAAAAAATTAACTTTCTGGCTGTTCAGTTGCAGTGGTGGTGGTGGGGTTCCAATATGGAATAGCGGATGACGCCTCTTATCACTCATAAAACTTTTTGAAAATCTTTCTTAGAAGTACCCTATATCTCAGGATTTATTTTTTTAAAAAAGCTGTTCAATAAGTTTTCAATGAATTAAACTGCAGCCCAACATTATACTTAGATATCTCTACGCACGGATACCAACTGAATGAATTACACCCATGCTTTACAAACCTAGCGGGTTTCCTTTAATTAATACATGCGTTATACCAGTGAGGGGGTTCCCTCTTATCCCTGGTTATAGTTTCGCAACACGACGATTGTAATTGCCTTCGAACCGCCAACCCTCACCTCTCCCCCATGCACAACGCATCCAAAGCTATTTTAAATGAAAATTAGGCCGGTCAGAAAAATTACACCCGGAGCTCCTTATACCCAAGGAAGAAAGACCGAGCAAAGAGTTTCTCCTTTTCCATGCCCGAAATGTTTTGAGACTAGAGTAAAACTGATACGTGAAGAATCTCTCTCTCTTTTTGTCTCTTCCTTCCGAAAAATCGACTCGGCAAATAAGCACACACCCCCACGGTCCCTGATCTGTCCTCAGTAGCCTTCAGACGTGAACTTAACCCGCACTGCAGCCCCACGCTGTTACAGGCGCCTCTTCTTTCAGCAACCCCATCCAGACGCTGTTGGACGGGGGTTTGCAGAGAGTCGACGGTTAACTTTTTCAGCACCCCCATCCCGCGATCGGAACCGAACTGGCTTCTCCGCGTCCCCCCCCCCCCCCCCGCAGCCGCCACTCCCCCCCCCCGCAGCCGCCACTTCTACCGGCTTCGCCTTCTTGCGTCCCACCGGAGCCTTTTGTGAGGCGCGTTGCAAGCCGAGGAGCGACGCGGGGCGACGATCGCGTCCTTGCTTGGAGTCCCTTCTCGACTCCGGACGGATTTCGCAGTCGTGACCCCGGCGTGGCACCCTCGTTTCGCGGGACGCCTAACCTGGATGCCGCGCGAGCTGCACAAATCCGACTGAGTTCGCCCCTCTCTGAGGTCGCCTCGTTCCCGCGTCTAGAGGTTCGTCCGAACGAGCCCCGACCTCCCAATTCCGAACCGGAGGAACTGCGTCGCCGCCGCTGCTGCTCGCAACGCGCTCTGCTTTGAAGCAAAGAAGCCGAACTGCCGCCACCGCCGCTGCGGCAATATACCAACCCTCTTTCCCCCCCCCCTCCGCCCCCCTGGCGCTGGCTTGCCTGTCCCAATCGCCGCTAGACGCCCGCCCGTCAGCTCTCGGGTGGCTTCCCAAGGCGGCGCCTGGTTGGGTTAACCACAAAAGGCTTTCTATTGGATCGGGCCCCGGGGTCCTCGCGCTGTCCCCAAAACAAGCCTCTTGTCCTCAGCAGGTGGAGGAATGGCTTTTTCCATTCAGATTAACAGCCACCGGCAGCTGAAGTTATCTCATGCTTCCAAAGTAGTAAATGGGTTTAATCATCCCCTAGTTAGTACTTCTTGTGGCAATGCGTTCCAAAAGACATTACAGGTCACTCGGCTGGATCTACTGCCTCACTTGAAGTAATCCGGAAAGAAGAAAGTTATTTGATTGCATAAGCAGGTTGCCTTTTAATCTCTGTTTGTTTCTTTCTGCTGCTAAAATGGGAGGATCGACAGAGCTGCTTGAAATTAACTTATTTATACAGTTGTCTGCCTGTCTGTCTTTCTGTCTATCTTTATCATCATCATCTATCACAGTAGTGGCGAACCTATGGCACGCGTGCCAGAGGTGGCACTCAGAGCCCTCTCTGTGGGCACGCGCGCCATGCCCCGGAGATGGCAACCGTCCCTCTTCAACCAGCCGCCCGCTAACTTGCCGAGATCCCACATGGCCGGATGCATCCCAGCACCCATGCGCTCGCTGGCCTTTGTGTGCAGGGGCTGATGGTGTCAGGCAGTGGCTGCCCCGGCCCTGCCTCACCTTGCTCTGTGACAATGGCACCCCTGCCTCGTCTTGCCTCGCCTCACCCCGCAGGACGAGCCTCTTGCCCACCGCCCCATCTGCCAGAGACCCCCTGGATCTCCCCCAACCCTGCCTGGCCCCCACAGGCGTCCCTCCCCACGAGCAACATCGAGATGATCACGCCCACCTTGGCCACACGCACCCAATCTGCCATGACCACCACAGCCACGCCCACCCAGTGGGTTACGCCCACCTGGCATCCGACGATAAATAAGTGGGTTTTGGGTTGCAGTTTGGGCACTCGGTCTCTAAAAGGTTCGCCATCACTGATCTATCATCATCTATCTGTCTGTCTGTCTGTCTGTCACCTCATACAGTTCTGGGTGTTTTACAATGCAATGGCAGGATCAAAAGAATCATACTGCAGCTTTGAGCCAACAGGAAATTCTGGCCAGACTAACCTTTGGTCTGATCCAGCAGGGAACATCATGCATTCTGATGCCATTCAGCTACTGGAAGTAGGAGATTCTGCTTTATGAACTCCGCTGGGTTCTGACTCACCCATCATCAGAGGCTGACATAGCTCTGTCATGTTTTTAAGTTGCCGATTCAGCTGAAAAAAAAAAAGAAACAAGTCACATCTAATATGGTTCAAAGCATTTTGCAAGACATATGTAAGTGGGCTGTTATCCACAACAGCTTAGCCCCTAATAAAAATGAGACTTTAAGATGTGACCAAGCTCATGCCTTACTTCTACCAAGCTCAGCATAGATGCCTGGCATTCAGCATCACGCTTCTCACTGCCTGTATAGTAAATCATAACAACTATGGTTCACAGGGCTGAATTAAAAAGAATATAATGCATTTTAAAAAGCATAATACAAGCAGTAAATTCCATTTTAAACATCACATTATTTTCATTGTCTTCAGTAGAGGGATAATCTTACTGCTTTAAAGTAAATAGGTTTGACTCCTAGTGACTCCTAGTGACAAGTTTGCAAAGCCAGCTGATGAGTTTAACATAGTTCCAGAATGAAAGAAAAATTAAATATAATTGTTAGAATTTGAAACAAATGACAAAAAGCTAATTCAGACTTTAATTCAAGAAAGTTATGAATGAATCATTTATAATAATAGACAAATAAACAGTACCTTTGTGGGAACTAAATCGTTTAGTCTACCTTAAGTTGTAACAGAAATTTGAGATTTCATGATTTCAGAAATTGGACACTATAGGGCAGTGATGGCGAACCTTTTAGAGACCGAGTGCCCAAACTTCAACCCAAAACCCACTTATGTATTGCTGGGTGCTGGATGGGCGTGGCCATTGGGTGGGTGTGGCCTGCTGGGTGGGCGTGGCTACAGTGGTCATGGCAGATGGGTAGGCGTGGCCAACTCGATGTTGCTCCTGGGGAGGGACACCTGTGGGGGCCGGGCAGGGTTGGGGGAGATCCAGGGGGTCTCTGGCAGGTGGGGCGGTGGGCAGGAGGCTGGTCCTGCGGGGTGAGGCGAGGCAAGGCGAGGCAGGGCGGGGGTGCCATTGTCACAGGGCGAGGCAGGGGCCTGGCACCATCGGTCCCTGCACACAGAGGTCAGCAAGTGCATGGGTGCTGGGATGCATCCAGCCACATGGGACCTCGGCAAGTTAGCGGGCGGCTGGTTGAAGAGGACAGTTGCCATTTCCGGGGCCTGGCGCGGGTGCCCACAGAGAGGGCTCTGAGTGCCGCCTCTGGCACGCGTGCCATAGGTTCGCCACCACTGCTATAGGGGACAGAGAGAGAGAGAGAGAGGGAGAGAGGGAGGCTGCTCCTTTGTCTTTGGTCAGTACAAAATGACAGAAAATGGTATGATATTTGAAATATTCCAGGAGATAGTTGAACAGTGGAGATAGAAACTGGCAACTATAATGTCAGCAGTGATGTCTGCCTCTATAGATAATGTCCAAAAGATGTTAAAGAAGTAATGACAGATGTGAAAGATAATATCTTGGAAGATCTACAGCAGAGGTTCCCAACCTTTTGGGCACCAGGGACCGGTTACATGGTGAGAGGTTTTTCTGTGGACTGGAGGGGGTGTGGTTTTGTGTGCTGCCTGCATCCTGCAGATGGGGCTTTGCTTGTTTGTGCGGCCAGGTTGCTGGCATGCTGCGAGGGACTCCTGATCTACAGAATAAAGAGCTGAAACAAACCTAACCTCATGCAAAAATACTAGAATTTAAAGAAATTGTTGAAATACTGGAAAATAAAAATGTGGATTATAAGATAGAGATGATAGTAGAAATAAAAATGATAATTACAAAGAGAAATGATCTAGATAATGACATTTTACTGGATTTATAAAAAAAGGTTTGCTAAATTCTCAAAGAACCCTTGGGATTGGAAAAAGAAAAACCAAACAGGTAGATAAGGAGAGATAAAATTCTATGGCAACATCTGAATGAGATAAAGATCAAGATTGCTAGAAGCAAGAGGAAGCGTACAAAGTTGCTTTCTTTGACCAAGGTTAAAATAAGACTAGTTTCTATAAAATTCTGGGAACCCTTTATGAACCTTTGGCTGACACCAGGAGTAAAATGTTAATTATGGATTTGCAGCTGGAAAAGAGGTGGGCTATGGGAAAAACAGATGCTTGCATGTAACCTTAAGCTGGGTGAAGAACTACTAAGTTTGTGTGTTTGTAATTAAGATTTGAAGTCACTTATTTAAATATTTCTTTTCTTTTTTCTTATTTTTTCCTCTTTTATTTTCCCTTTTTCTTTTTTCTTGCACTATTCTCTCTTTCTTTCCCTTTTCCTTTCTGAGTTTAGTATGTATTATGTTTTTTTTAATTGCATTTTTTCAAAAAATAAATTACTCAACATCAGAGACCCCTACATCTGCTATATAGTACTGCATAACAACGTTTTAGAAGATGATTTGCAACTTTGGGGCAAAAGTCCCCATGACATTCAGATTCAGTAGCTTACCTAAATGTGAACAGGATGACATGCCCATTCAACTAGAACTATAGCTGACCTGGAGTTCAATGAATTCTTTATTAAACTGGAGTGAGGTGTCATCTGATTTTTCTCTATGTCCTTTACCATTCAACATTTTCATAAACGATTTGAATGTAGATAGAAGTGGAAGGAATGTTTATTATACTACTTTAGATGTTAAAAAGGTTGGTTGACTTTGAGACAAACTCAAATCCTCATGACTTACCATGGACACATCTGTGCAGTTTCCCCCGGCATGATACAAAATGGCATGCCTTTGCATTTTTTTGAGACTTCTGAATGGAGCTTACAACTCCAGAAGATAGTATCAATATTGAAACTGATCTTAAATTAGATTAGAAAAGTGGTCTGAAAATGAACTTTAATAGCAATACAAATACATGCAAAGTCCTTTATACAAGAGAAAAAAGTAAGAGAAAATCCCACCCAGTTTACAAGAGCACTTATGAAAGGGATGTTGAATTTGTAATTAATGTAATCAATCACAAGGCATATATGGGCTCCCCCCCCCTTTTGCACCTAACCAAGATACAAATGTGTTCTAACAGCATTTTTTTGTTTTGCTGCCAATCCCTAAGGCAGTGATGGCGAACCTTTTAGAGACCGAGTGCCCAAACTGCAACCCAAAACCCACTTATTTCTCGCCGGGTGCCGGGTGGGCGTGGCCCACTGGGTGGACATGGTGGGGTGGTCATGGCAGATTGGGTGGGTGTGGCCAAGGTGGGCCTGATCACCTCAATGTTGCTCCTGTGGGGGCTGGGCAGGGTTGGGGGAGATCCAGGGGGTCTCTGGCAGGTGGGGTGGTGGGCAGGAGGCTCGTGCTGCAGGGTAAGCCAAGGTAGGGCAGGGGTGCCATCGTCGCAGGGCAAGGTGAGGCAGGGGCCGGGGTGGCTGCTGCCTGAAACCATCGGCCCCGCACACAGTGAGCTCATGGGTGTTGGATACATCCGGCCATGTGGGACCTCGGCAAGTTAGCAGGCAGCTGGTTGAAGAGGGATGGTTGCCATCTTCAGGGCATGGTGTGTGTGCCCACAGAGAGGGCTCTGAGTGCCGCCTCTGGCCCGCGTGCCATAGGTTTGCCACCACTGCCCTAAGGAATCTTCATTTGGTCCCTTAACCCACAAATGAGCCTGTCTCAAGTCTCTTTAGCTGGACCAGTTTGAAAGTAATGTTTCCATCCTTGAGCCAATAGCAAGGGCAAACTGTTTATGCTTTAGTTGACATGGTTCCCATAAACCATGATATACTTGTCAGTGTTCAGATTCATATAACAAAGCCAAAACTGAACAAACCCTTTACAGAACTAGGGAAGACACTTAGTGGTTCTGCACATTATCATAAGCTATGGTTTGTTTAATAATGAATTAAAAATTACAAATGGTATGGCTCATACTAGATGTGGTTTGAATTAATCTTTGACTCTGTGAACCATGTTATTGTGACTTCTTATATTACTGTTAAACCATGGGTTAGAAAGATGTATGAATCCTATCTTACATTTAACCATCAATTAATATCAGCTGCTGATGGTGGTACAGATATACGTAGAAGAACTAGTGTTACATGAGATTAGGTGGGTGCAATGCCTAAGACCAAGTTCATAAATTAAGACAAGCTATTGTAAGTTGCTTGAGTTCACATAATGTATTTAAACCAAAATCAAGAAATAGTGTGTGAATAGAGCAAGCTGTGGTTTGTTCATTAAATAAAATATATTTATTTATTGAATTATTTATCATTCCTTCAGAAGCTCAAGACGGCATATTTAGTGCACTCTCCTCCTATTTGCCCCCACAAGAAAAACCATAACGAAAAGGGAGGGGGGTTGGAAGAGAATGATTAGAGAATAGTATCCCTAACATGGTTCCATAGATGAGGGAAGTCTTTTTGCTTTGAGCCTGACACTTTAACCACTCCACCATACTCTCTTAATGTCCCCCCATCTGTGATCTGAGTCACATAAGCTCTTAAGAGAGAATATATTTTGCTTATTTGGCATTTACCATATTGTACGATCTTAGTCCATTGATGTGTGAGCTGAAAGTTTAGCATGCTATGTAAACCCAACAAATTTGATTTATGTAGCAAACCACAGTTAACCCAACTATGAGTTAGTATAGTATAAGTTATATTATTTTATGCAGATAATAAAGATGTTAATATTTTATTCTTTTCTATAAAAAGAGTTTTTTCTCTCCCTTGTGAGAATATAAATTATTTTAAAAGGATTAATCAAAAATCGTGTTGAGGTCAAAATACCATTTATATCCCAAATGTAATTATCCCAGATGGCCAAGTAAATTAGAAGCTCCTTTAAACAATAACTTACTGTATCTCACATCAATTTTTTTTCTTTTATTTCAGAATTTTAAAATTTATCCATCTGTGCTGGCATATTTAATCATCTTTACACTTTCAAACTATTAGGAACTAATGAACAATATGTGTCTAAGTAATTTGGGCTCTCTAATAAAGTATATTTTGTATTGGGAAGGGTTTCTATTTTTTTAAGTTAAGAAACTTGGCACTCTTAATTCACCTAAAAGCCAGCTTTGATCTTATTTTAGTTTTCAGAAATACATGGACTGAATCACATACTGCAATAAGATATTGTCCAGGGTTTCTTGAAATTTAATGGCTACCACAATGAACTGGATTCAAACATATTAAACTAAAATCAAATGATATCATAGCTTAGTATGATTGAATAAATATCTCCTAGTGGCAAATTAGATGTATAAATCGTGCATGGTTGAAATACAGAAGAGTTCAGTCAAAAATTGTATATGTGTATATATGCCACCTGTTGCAATTATCAACAATTTATTTTACTGTTCTATGATATGTAAATTCATTCACAGGAAAAGGACATTGTGTGTACTTTTGGGTCTACTGCAGATGGTGAACACTTTTAATTGGAACAAGACAGATATTGGACATCTGGTTCTTGCAATGAAAAAAACATGTTCCTTTAAGAAGTTTCCAAAAATCAACAGGGGTAAGGAAGACATAGTAATTGAGGCACAAAGATGAACCAAGAATTGCATGCACAGTCAACAGAGGACTGTAGAAGACAGGATGCCAACTGAAGCTATATTGCTCTGCAAAGCCTTGAAGTGTTTGTTCAAGCTTGTCACCATTTCAAAGTTTTTAAAAAAAGGGAGATCAAAAAGAAAGATAACAAAGATGACTAAGAGTTAAATCATGAAACACAAGAAACGCAATTAAAGACTGTTCATTTTTACAGAAAAAAATAGCCAGGGATGACATGACAGCAGTTCCAAATATCTAAAGAAAAGGGAACAAATTGTTTATTTGGAGAAATTGAGTGAATTGCCAAGATTTGCAGCCCAGTATCAGATAGAGGAGTTAAACTTGCTTGTTGTTCTGTATGTTATGTTACAATATAAGAATCAATTATTGATGTAGTCTTTCTTTAAGGTGCTGTATAGTATATTTAAGTATGCATGTACTCAGTTACAATTCTCTACATCTTCAAATGCATTTCTCCCAGTGTTAACTATACAAATGACAACTGTCCTTAAAAGGATATCAAATGATATCTCTTTTGGAAAAGCTTAAAGAAGCTTAGGACAGTTTCTAGGTCATTCTAAAGCTGTAAGATTGACTCAGCAGGCCTGTGTGCACCAGCTCCACCATCGCCTGTAAATTTGCGTAGCTCAGCAAAGTGTTATGGGTAAATGCAGCATTCCGGCTTTTATCTACCTGGAGGAAGCTAGGAACCACAATTTTTAATAAAATAAAGTATTGCTTTATTCTGCTTTTATTTGGCAATTACACATTTCTATCTCAACTTCTCTAGGGTGCAAAATAACATTTATGCTTTACTGTCTTTCCATTCTCTTTTTATTCACATAACAGCAATGTAGGTAATTTCATCTGTTGGTGAGACCTAGATACTTTCATGATACAGTGGGGCTTTGAATTTGGTTATCCCCAATTCTAGGTTGCCCCTGTAAACACTACATCTATTGGCTTTTAAAAGCATCTTCTCTAGTTATGCTTTAACATAAGCTTAAGGATCCGGCTTATAAAAATGTTTAGTTAAAGCATAATTTGTTGGCTTTGGCTTAATGTGTTGTACACATCCAGCCATAATGATCTATGAACAATATATTTTGGTTTAGAATTTTGCTAGTCCATCTGATTTATTCTGTACTTTATAAACCTTGGCTTAGTGATTCGTGAATCAGGTCATATGGTGGACATTGCACTGTCTAAGGGCTAGCGTATTACTGCTTTTTATCTTTCTTTTTTAAGGACACCAGTGTTCTCAAGATACATTGAGAAAGTCCTAGGCTGCCCCAGTTCAAGATTTCTGTTGATTTGGAGGACCTTTCCTTGAGTCTCTCTCACTATACCTATTACCATCTTACTTTCTGTTCATTTTATTCTTTGTTTTTCTGTCCTTATGTGAGGGCTTATGTGTCAATGGTTATTATTTATGGTTGCTTTAAACTACATTGAGGTTATATCAAGTGTAGTTTATACAGTCTGTAAGCTCTTCAGATTAATTTGATTAAGGGGGGGAATAAATTATACTTATCCTCTAACCCAGTGTTTTTCAAGCTTGACAACTTTAAGATGGATGGACTGGAAGTTGAAATCTAATTAACAAAGTTGTGAAGCCGAGAAACACTTGTTCCGACTTAAAGCAAAACTGTTAATAGCAATTCTTCCACCCTGATTTTCAAGTCAAGGCAGGTGGCAACTGTCCTGATAACCACTAAATGGCTGCTGGTAATTAGAGGTGTGCTGAATCTCATTGCTGCCAGCTGGATTTATGCATTTCAGATTTATAGCCTTAATCCAGGGATCTTCAAACTTGACCCTTTTATGACTTGTGGACTTCCTGGCTGAGGAATTCTGGGAGTTGAAGTCCACAAGTCATAAAAGGGTCAAGTTTGAAAACCCCTGCCTTAATCTAAGGCTGTTTAAGCAATTTTTATTGGGTATGTGCATGCTGGAGGTTTCACTGAGAAAACATCAAATTCTATCTAAGGCTGATGACTTCATGGGCACATCTACTAGTTTGTTTGGCAACAAAGTAAAAATCATTTGCTGCTGCTTTCT